TTGCTGTTTTAATCAATGGACTCTACTGGAGACTTAGAACAACAAGCAGTATAACTTCGTTTTCATGTCGGAAAAGTCCGTCTGACGGCAAGTTAAACCGGCACGCATATTCTTACGCGTACATATAGCGTACCTCTCTTTGTGGAGGGCTAAAATATGCTGACTGTCGTGTCTACTGAGTGTGATACACTGACTAACGTTATGTAACTCATACAATCCTGCTTAAAAAAATCACCAAACAAATGTATGAATATGGGAGGGAACTCCCAGTGGACGACAGATGTGTTTGCAATGTAACGATAACAATGACTTTACGGCCTCATTGGCAAAACAATGCTATTAAGCTAATAAACGATAGCTTTCATTCAGAACTTACCTTTCTTTGTGCAGCTTCAAATGTCGGACGAAGTTGGAGGTTGTGGCGTCTCCGTCTGAAATCTTCGACCCGCATGTTTTGCATACTGCCACTCGTTTTTTTTTTTGTTAATTACCTCGTAAATTTTAAATCCGAACAACCCGCGCGTTGTTTGACAGCTCTTCCTCATTGGTTGTCCCGCAATTTGATTGACTCCATGCCATCTCGTCAAAACAACGTGGGTCTAATTTGATTGGATGTTGTGCCGACAGCACATACACACTCAGACGCACACACGTACACAATTAGAGATACAGAGCGCTCCTTCATAACTTATTTTATAATCTTTGGGTTTTGAAGAAAGTATCAAGTCTTGTCGAGTCAAAGGGCTCAAGTCCAAGTTAAGTCACGAGTCACTGATGTTAAAGTCCAAGTCGAGTTGCAAGTCTCTTTACATTTTGTCGAGTCTAAAGTCATCAAAATGATGACTCGAGTCTGACTGGAGTCCACACCTCTGTCATTGTAAATAAATTGGACAAGTGGACACACACAAAGTAACCACACCTACTATTGTATGTGTATTAATATACTCTCAGAAAACTGAAGACGAAGAGGAAGTTTATCTTTCAACATGACAAAGATCCAAAAAGATTGAGGTTTTAGAATGGCCCAGCCAGAGTCCAGACCTGAATCCAACTGAACATCTGTGGAGTGATCTGAAGAGAGCTGTGCATAGGAGATGCCCTCGCCATCTGTCAGATTTGGAGCAATTTTGCAAAGAAGAATGGTCAAATATTGCGACATCAAGATGTGCCAGACTCATAGACACTTACCCAAAAAGACTGAGTGCTGTAATTAAAGCCAAGGGTGCTGCAACAAAGTATTAGTTTAAGGGTGTGCATACTTATGCAACAAGGTTGCTTTAGATTTTTATTTTTTATTTTTCCCTCGTGAAGAGTTCAATTTGTTTTTCAATTGCCTATAACATGTTATGGGTCACATTAAAAGTGGAAAAAGTTATGAAACGATTTATGCTTGTGTCTTTTCTTTACATCACAAAAACCTGGCTTTGAACAAGGGTGTGCAGACTTTTTATATCCACTGTATATGACTTTGTAGTCGTCTTGCTGCATATTCTTTTTGTGAAACATCACAACTCAGAGAGAGAGAAAGAGAAAACACACTTACTTCAATAAATATATGAGAACACACCATTCTCTGCTGCACCTTCGCATGAGACAGCCTTTAATATTACTTACGCAACAGACTGATGTCATACACTGTAGGGTTGTTTTTCGGAGTTTGTTTTCCTTCTGTCAGTCAATTTCAATTGCACCTACTGTTTCGACAGTAAGTATTTGAAGAACTCGTACACCGACCAGGCTATAGCAGTGGATGGCATCTGGTATATCACTCGTGCCTGGACTCCTTTAAAGAATGCCGCCAGACCCCCGAGTCGATACACTGTTCTGAAGGCATTGGCCATTCCTGTCAGGTGTCCGCTGATGTTCATAGAGCTCAGTGCTACATTCTCCTGTGTGTTGAGCAGCGTTTTACAAACATCCAGTGGAGTAGTTATCGCTGCAGACACGGCTCCAGCCACTGCTCCTGACACAATGTGGCTTGCAGGATGGTAATGTCTGTGGGGGTTTAGCTGCTCCTGCATGAGCTCGTAGGTGATGAAGTGCACGGCCTGGAATGGTATGTTCATGGTCAGCTGTGTGCTGTAGCTGCGGTAAAAGGCACCGACACCTTCGGTCCGTGTTATGGTTTGAACACAATCCCAGAGTCCGCGATATGGCGAGTTGTACATTTGCATCCTCTGCTTTATCACTGAGTGAAGGAAGCAGACAAAAAAAAATTACTAGTTTCCCCCGCATATTACAGACAAAAAAAACATATTACTAAATAATGAAAACTTTTATACTAAGGTTTGGAATACTGTGGGTTTTTTCCTAATACTGATGATTTGTGCCAGATTTTAAACAGTGCCTAAAGTGATAGAACACAGATGGGTACAGTGGACACAGAGGTGTGGTGATATTTCAATTACTGGTTCAAGTCCCAGCTCTAAAGCATGGTGCATCTCTATATGCTGGTATGGTCTTCCCTTGAAAATGTGGTATTTTCAATAGCTTAGAACAAAATCAGTAAGTGCTGAAAATTTCCCAGAATAGTAATTTAGATTATTTTCCAAAGATAAGTCTCTTTGTCTTATATAAATGTAATTAAAATATCCATCCATCCATCCATTTTCATCCACTTATCCGTTACCGGGTTGCGGGGGCAGCAGTTTCCATGACCGACACCCAAATCACATTGCACCGTACCAACCCCCCTAAACCTTCCTGCGGGTGGTGAGTCCACTGGAAGATACCAACTGCCCTAACCGGGATTCGATCTTGCCCAGGAGGTGAACCCTGGAGTTCCACACCAATGACAAAGACATTGCCTCTGGGCCAAAGTGCCATGTAATTAAAATATGACATACAGACCATGTCCAAAAAATTTGAATATCATGGAAACGTTTATTTATTTCCATAATTCCATAAAGTTAAAAGATAGAGATAAGATAGATTATAGAGTCAGGGCCCACAATTTAAACAATTTCAAGTATTTATTTATTTTTACATAATTTGGGCTTCCAGCTCATGAAACCCACGAAAACAGGAATTCAAAAAATTAGAATACTGTGGAAAAGTCACCATTTACTTCTCCGTTTTTGCAGAAAAAAAGAAAATAGGATTACATCAAATCAATCATTTGGTATTTTCAAAACAATATGTCAATCTTCAGTACTTGGTTGGGGATCCCTTTGCCTTAATCACTGCCTCAATGTTCCGTGGCATTGATGCAATCAGCCTGTGGCATTGCCTGGGAGTTATGGAAGCCCAGATTTCCTTGATGCTTGCAGTCAGCTCTTCTTTGTTTTTGCATCTGGTGCCCCTCATTTTCCTCTTAATAATACCCCATAGATTTTCAATGGGGTTTAGGTCCGGCGAGTTGGCTGGCCAGTCAAGCACTGTGATGGTATAGGCATCAAACCAGGTTTTGGTGCTTCTGGCTGTATGGGCAGGGGCGAGGTCTTGCTGGAAGATGAAATCTGCATCTCCATACAGATCCTCAGCAGAAGGAATCGTGAAATCCTCTAAAACATTCTGGTAGACTGTTGCGGTGACCTTGCATTTAAGAAAGCAGAGTTTACCAACACCTGCACTGGACATTGCAACCCAAATCATGACTGACTGTGGATATTTCACACTGGACCTCAAGCAGCTTGGGTTCTGTTCCTCACCCGTCTTCCTCCAAACTCTTGGACATTGATTCCCGAATGAAAGACACACTTTACTTTCATCAGAAAAGAGGACCATGGACCACTGGCCAACAGTACAGTCCTTCTTCTCCTGGGCCCAGTTGAGACACTTCCTACGTTGGCTCAGAAGTGGCTTGACCCGAGGAACCCGACAGTTGTAGCCCATCTCCCGGATGCGTCTCAATGTGGTGGTTTTTGAAGCGGTGACTCCTGTCTCATTCCACTCTTTCTGGATGTCTGCCAGATTCTTGAACCTTCTCTGTTTGATAATCCACTGAAGCCCAAGGTCATTTCTTTTGCTGGTGCATCTTCTCCTGCCACATTTTGCCCTTCCACTCGATTTTCCATTGATATGTTTGGACACAACACAGCCAGCCTCTTTAGCTCTGAACTTTTGTGGCTTACCCATCCTATGGAGGGTATCAATGATGGTCCTTTGGACAGTTGTCAAGTATGCAGTCTTCCCCATATTGAACCAAACTGAGACAATTGAACCAAACTGGAGCACTTTAATAACATCTGGGGAAACCTGTGCTGGTGCTTTGAGTTTAGTAGATGCTTAGTGTGTGACACTCAGTTTAAAACATTCATGCCCCACAAAATTTGGGCTGATTTCTCCACAGTATTCTAAATTTTTGAATTTCTGTTTTCATGGGTTTCATGAGCTGGAAGCCCAAATTATGTAAAAATAAACAAATAAATACTTGAAATTGTGGCGCTTTGGCCCAGAGGCAATGTCTCTGTCATTGGTGTGGAACCCCCGGGGGTTCACCTCCTGGGCAAGCTCAAATCCCGGTTAGGGCAGTTGGTACTCTCCAGTGGACTCACCACCCGCAGGAAGGTTTAGGGGGGTTGGTACAGTGCAATGTGATTTGGGTGGCGACTGCTGCCCCCGCGACCCGGTAACGGATAAGCGGATGAAAATGGATGGATGGATGGAGACTTGAAATCGTTCAAATAGTGGGCCCTGAATCTACAATCTATGAAAGTTTAATGGAATTTGGAAATAAATAAACTTTTCCATGATATTCTATTCTTTCAGAATAGTGCAAAAAGTGACATTTGATCACATGTACTGTTAGTTGAGCGTATCTTTACAAAACTGAAAAATTTATACTGAACCAACAATAAATAATGGAAAAACTGCAGCATCTTAAACTTAAACTGAACAGTTCAGGCGACCCCTTTTGAATCCCAGATGACCCCACGTGAGGTTGTAAGCCAAAGGTTGAACAACACTGTTCTATGTCTGAGTTCAACAGTTACAACAGGAGCTGTGTTCTTAACCAAGCAGCTTTTTCTTCCTTTTAATAGCGCTTAACACTAGTCTTACAAACATGTCTTTGTTAAAGACCACTCTCAAAACAAATCTTTACCTTCAGCTGGGTTCATCACTGCATCATGGAGAACAGTGGCCACACTTCCTGCAACACCTGTTGGTAAAAAAAAAGGAATGTCACATTTGGTTTGTCCATATTTTCGTTCGCCCTTCACCAGCTCAATAAATTGACAGTCACAGCACAAATATTTATTGTATAAAAGCTGCTTCTTTAGCCTGTTAGCACAGGCATTCCAGCAAAAACTGTAAACCAAAAATGTATACCATTGGCTAGATGGGTGTTCCCTCCACTCTGGATGACATCACTCAGTAAGCGTTTGACCCGCTCATAGCAGGCAAAGTAGAGGGCATGGGCCGGTCCTGCTCCTATCATGGTGATGTTGAGGCCTCTCAGTGGTCTGAAGACCCCTTCAGTCTGAACCATCCTTTTCAGAGCCTGATACACACCTCTGTACTGGGCATTTGGGTCTGGTTGCAAGCTCTGCATCCTCGTCTGGAAGAAACAAAACATCTGCCTTCAATGCCATTTTATTATTTCCAGTTCCAGGCATAAATTGTGGTGCACACACTTTTAGAAGCCATGTATTCACAGTAGATTCTTCAAATGGTCAGACTGCAAGTGTTTTGTTTTGCATTAGCTAAGATATTCAGGGTTTTGTTATAGCTGAGGCTCATAAGATGGAGCTCTGGGGTCCGTTTCTTGAAGCGGGCTTAGTGCTAAATCAAAGTTAGTTAACGCCATGTTAGAGGGAACTCTGACTTTCCGGTTTCACGAAGCCGGCTAGACTGTGACGCTGACTTGGTTGCTATGGCCACATATACAGTGGAGCAAACCTGCTCCGTAGCAGTTTTAAGGTCCTTAAGTCTGAGTTAAGGAGTCAGTCCGTAACCATATGCAGGGTGTGGCTGTTTGTTGAGGAGCCTGTGGACATCACAGCTCAGTTGCTTAGAAGAAAATGATGCCAGGAAAGAATCCTGAGATCACGACATCAATATTTTAGCACTTCCCGAGAGCTTTTTGTTAGTCTTTCCGAAAAAGTGAAAACCTTGAGTTAATTATTAATCAAAAGTGTGGTAAATGTCAGCAAGTCTATTCAATCTATAATCCACTAAAGAGGAAACATAGAGCTTATGTAGCTGCCCTCCTCCACTTAAGATTTCAGCAGCAATTGTACTTTTGTCATTTGTTAATCAACACATCACAGGAACAAGCTTATTCACGTATTAAATGTATCTGTTTGCTAAACCCACTACTGTAATGCAAGAAGCCCCTACAGCTCTGTGTTTATAATGCAATTATGAAAACAATGGAACCGTGACTCGGTCTTGCATCAGTTTAGAGCAACCTAAATTACAAAACAGGTTGTTTTAAAAAGCACAACCACACTGACTCATGTGAAGATTGACAGCTGGAAAAGTACATGGACGTGATGTCACTGGTTATTGTAATAGACTGCTACTTTTTGTAATTGCAAATGTGCATTGGGATGCAATAATAGCAATACTGCTTTTACATTTGCAGACAGAGCAATTTTTAACCTTTATAAACTAAAAAAATAACACTTATTCCAGCAGGGAACTCTTGTACTCAAACTTCCCACAATTTTACTTTTAATGTGTTATATACAGTTGCCTTACCTCCGACTTTTGTTAGAGTAGATTTACAATACTTCACACTTTAGATCTGTAGATGGACATTCAACAAAGATGTGATGGTTTCACTTTTGAAATAATTGATGTTGAACTGACTGTGACTGATTCTTCTGGTCCAATCTGACCAGCCTTGTTACTGAAGTTCTGATGTCTGATCACTGAACAGGTCATAAGGTCATAAAATGCTTCAGCCTGTGATCATGATGCCATCACTGTCACGTGCCGTTCAAGACAACTAGGAAACCATTTCAAGGCTCATACTTTTTATTCATTAGCTTGCCCATTTTTGTTACAGGTCACATACTGTAAAATGTCCCAACTTTTTTAAAGTGAACTAAATTTACATTATCAAGCTGTGCTTCATAATCCTAATCCATAATCCTTTTAATAATGTGTTAATAAAATACTAGTAAGTACTTACCACAGCTAAGGACAAAATGTTTTTTCCTTTTTTGTTTTATCAAAGTAAAAGCACTTGAGCTAAATAACAATGAAACATCCAGTTAAACCATTTCTGATGGTTTAAAAAATATCATAATATACTAAATACATTAGCTGAATATACTAAGTACATTAGCTACATTACATAAGTACAATGAATGCCTTTTTAAATTTTTTCCTTAGTGCAATAATTTTTAACACTTCATGTCTGATTATAATGACTTAAAGTTCAGAAGTTTGATCTTTCACTATGCATATAATTGCAATTTATTACACAAAACTAAAATAGGAATGGACCACATTTCTTGGTCCATGTTCACAATGAGGACAGTGTTCTTTTTTTGTATTACAGGCCCATCCATTCCATCTTCAGATGCTGGCAAAATCTCTGTGGCCTAACAGTTGTAGTTTCAACAAAATTGCAGTGCCCGTTATGTTTTTCCATGCTTTGTCCTGTACTATTGTTAGATTTCAGTGGTTTTCACATTTGGTTGGGTCTGCAGCAGGAAGCTGATAAGACACCAAAAGGCCTTCCCGAGCACACACAGTCACATAGCCCACACATTCATTTTCAATTTCCCAAAATTCTCTTCACACCAACTTTATAAAACACCTCTACTCCCTGGGAACAATGGGAGATCTCCCAATCTACCTTCTCACAGGGAACCCCAGGGCCATCAATTTCTTTTGATCAACATGACAGCCTGTGGTTGATTGGACTTTATGGCTCAGTCCACTTCCCTTGTTATAACTCCCCCCC